CCAAAAAATACACTCCAGACACGCCGCTGGCACTAGAGGCACAGCATGGCCGCCTAGTAACGGCCCCGACCACTGCCGCTCGACCTGACCGGAAAAAACCGTAGCAGGAAGCTAGCGAAGTCGTAGTATATATATATATATATTGTCACATCACTACAAACTAAAAGAGCGCACTTTGCGGAACAAAGAATAAAAGCAAAAAACGGGCACAGTGATATATATATCGTCACAAACAGAACTGCCCGGTAAACCGTAGGCACAGAGAGAGAAGAGTCGGTGAAACTCCGACGAAACAGTTTGTCACAGCCCTTCGTTTGTTGTCCTCTTCTCCCTCTCTGCCTAAGGACAACAAACGAGGGGCGGTGACAAACTGTTTCGTCGGAGTTTCACCGTCTCATCGGGAGGCTGAACCCTCAACAGTCTGCAGAATCCCCTAACTGATTACACTGTAAGTGATAATCCACCTTAACCCCGCTTGTCGTTAAGCATCAACGACTGCCCGACAACTGATACCTTGAGGTGGGCACCAACCACTCCCCTCAAGGTACCTGTGACGAAAATCAAAGCAGACTATGACTCACCCACACCAGATGGAAAACTCTATACGTATTACATAAGGTAATAATATAACTTCTCTGATTTATTAAACTACCTTTCATCCACTAGAATCCCCCAAGAGAGGTTAGCAAATGGGGACTACACCTGCAGAAGAGCCGGGGCACGGGGGGGGAGGGGGGGGGAAGGACTTGGAGGGGGGTATTGCAGAATGGACGGCAGCAAACATACTATCCTATACGAGAGAAACACAATACATGCATGCATCGAAAGTTAGGTGCCTTTGTTTCGGTCTCCATAAAACGAAAAAAACATGTTCGAGGGGAAAACAATTTGATGAAAGGACTGCAGTAGATTACACACGTGGGAGTCTTTGTCTCTTCATACTTAGACGCTACAAGCATACTTGCGACTCCCAGGAGCTGTAGCTTCTGTCGACGAATCGCAGGCCCGTCTGCCAGGCAGCGATCCATGATTGCAACTCCGCGAAACACAGTGTCAATCTGAAGTCCAAACTCCTCGGAGAACTGTACAAGGAACCAAGACAACCACGAGAGAAAAGAGAACGGAAAAAACAAGAGTTATTCACTTCGAGAAAGGGGTTATACACAGTGTTGGATTCCACAGGGAGGAAAGAGTCAGAGGGAGGGAGGGAGGGAGGAAGGGAGGGAGGGAAGGAGGGAGGGACAAACAGAGG